TGACAACAGACAAACAATTTCACCATACGGTGGTCTGTTGCCAGTCTTTATTTGGTACATATTATATGCATTGAGCATTGAAATGTCCATGAGATGGAAGAAAAGTTTCATGTACCACTTGTAACTCTTACGAACACAGTCAACAAAACAATCTGCATGTCACATTTGTCAACCAAGCGCATGTTTTGTGTATAATCATCACTGTCACTGGTTTTTCGAATACGTTCATTAGTCACTCGATCAACTTTGCCACTGTCTTGCATTTCATTACGGTGAATGGTGTCAACAATGTGACATCTCGTTTGTCATGCCACCGTAATGCCATGATGTCATTGGCAGTAAACACCAGCACGTCATCACCACGAGCACCTGCGTTGAGCCTGGGCATATGTTTACGATTAGAACACACTGTGCCACACACATCTGTCATTGTTCACCTCGCATGAAATCACTGAGTAATGGGCTTGTGTACCAGTTTATCGTATATAATGTATGCCCCTTACCAAGATAAGGTGCCATCATGTTTCTCACTACGTCACCTGAGATACCCAATAACATCTTGGTATCTTTCAATGTTTTACTACCCGTGTATACAACAATATCCAACACCAGGCCACTGTCACAATCACAGAGTACAAACAGTTTTATACCAAAGTGTTTCCTCTTGCTCGGTATATAGTGCTTGAATGACAGTCTACCTTTGAACAAAATCAAAGACTCGTCAATTACAAGATTCTTGAATGGATAAAAGTATAATGCTGAACTTTTGTTTGAGATACATGAAAACATTTCTAATCTTGTATAACCTGTCACTTCTGTCAGGCCTGGTTTTGTCAGAGAAGTGCAACATACATAAGAGTAAGATAAACCTGTTCACTGGTATGATTTCACTGAAGACCGGGGTAGAAATTAGCCGATCTGTGGACCAGTATGCTTTTATATTATGCTTATAGACGTGAGGCATAAGCATTATTGTTGCAAAAAGCAAATACATTTCTGCAACAGTCGTCTCTTTCCACCTGTGTAGTCTTGACTGTGGTGATAAGATCGTATTTGCCATGGTGTACTCAAAATACTTATTACTTTCCCTGACAATAATTTCCATCAATGGCTGGTCAAAGAATAATTCAAAGAATTCCAGTTCATTGGCCGTGGTTCCAAGGGCACAAGTAGGTAGAATTCCACTTTGAGAGTCATCAAAGTGGTGAGGCTTGGGAACAGAATTGGGATTTTGCTGCCAATCCCACATACGGTTTGCTGGTGGATACTGGACATCATAGGCTGGTTGTGCGGGTGGTTGTGGTGGGCTGGTGGCTGACGCTCCGCTTTGTCCTTGAACTGACGAGTCAGCAGCGTGGGTCCCAGCGTGGCCTGGTGAGTCATGCATGGCGGTGCCACTACCATCACCACTAACACCATCCACTGATGTCTGTGGTCTATCCATGCCAAGTGTAGCCACATCATCCTCACTATCACTACCTAAAACTGGTGTAGGGCCACGGGATGTACTCCGGGATGTACTCCGTCCCCTGGGCACAGCATAGGGTACACTACCCGAGCGCATGCGGTGGCGAACATACCGACGCTTCACTGGTGAATATGATTCCTCACTATCACTACTCGAATGATCGTCGAGCGCAATAAAATCACAATCCACGTCACTATCATCGTCATTACTGAAGTCAGAGGCCTGGCCATGCGAAAATATTAGTTTTCTCTTGCGTTGAGGAACAACCGACCGTGAATCACGAGTGCCCACACCAGAGGTAGAAAGTTGAGGATCGTCAGGGTTTTCTGCACTATTATCGATATCCTGGTCATTCTTTTCGGTCACTAACTGATCAAAGCCGTAGAATTCGTCTTCATTTCCCACTTCCATCAGTGTCAGAGCTATCAGATTAGGAAGAGGAGAGTCCCAATTTTCCGGGGAGTGGAGAGCTGACTTGCGACGAGGCATGGTGAAAAAGGGTGACTGACCTGGCGTTCCCACAATGCTATGCAGGCGCCTAGATTTTTTGTTTATGGCGCAGACCCGTTCTTTCACATGTAGGCTTATGAGCGCTTTCGCGCTAAATTTGACGGCGCTAGAATTTTGGCGTAGATCTACGGTTTGGACACTCAACGTAAAGCCGTAGATCTACGGACGGACCCTGAAAGGGTTAACAAATTAACTAATCGAGTGCATGGTATCCAATAGCAGGTGTCAGTCTTAGTTATTTGCTGATTTATGTACTGTATAGCTACATGGGTGACAAATCTACCGTGGCAAATTTGGCCCATGAATGGGCACAAATATTTTCGTGACGGATACCACTATTGTTTTTAAATTCTACTATTAAAAAGGAGTATTATTTTTTGTGTGTATTTAGCTGCTGGAGTCTTCTTTATGACTTATAATTACAATAATAAGTGTCTGCATTTAGGAGATTATAATTACTCATATATAACCATCTTCTTCACTGGAAATATTATCTACCCAGGATAACCCAAGAAAGTCAATCATCACCAAGGACTGTCTTGTCTTTTTTTCATTGGGGGTCCTAAAATCTTGTCCCCCAGGATGTGATCCACATCACTTGTCTAACACTCAGGTTCCTGCTTTCTTGCTAGGTGAACGGAAACAACAGACGTAAGGAAACGCACCCATCCACTCTTGCCGAGGATCGAACCACGGACACTCGGTGTATTGAAGTGAGAGTGTTGCCTAATAGGTCATGGAACACCATGGACATTTCAAAATGTTTTAATTAATTGTCTGTTATGTGCATTTTTTAAAGGAAAATTTGTTTTAGAATGTATAAGTCAAATAAAAGAAGACATGCCATGTACAGATTACTAGGAATTGTAAGGGTGTAATGCACAAACAAACCTTCTACTATTGTATATAGTAGGACCCCACCTATATGGCAGGTTAGGTTTCAGCTACCGCTGTAAAGTGGAAATTGCCGTAAAGTGGAACACCTTTTTTTTTCCACTTATAAATGCATATAAATGCTAGATGACAGGTTTACACTAACATATTTTAAGTTAGCAATAGAACTAGGCATTAAAAAAAAAAACACAAAAAGTAAAATACACACAAAATATACTTGTTACTTACCCTAAAATATTAATATGAATATGTGAGAGGTGAGTGGCAGTGTTAAAGTTTTTCCATGTCAACAGTAAGTCGCTTTGTCTAACATTTTTGGGTTATCCTAGGTTCTCTGCACATATGCTGCTATATGTAATTGTATTTGATGGCTATCTCAGCCATCGACTTACCTTGTTAGCAAGTAAGTTAGTTTATTCAGGTATGCACAAATATAGTTACATAGATTATCATACATATTTGTAGAGGACCTAGGATAACCCAAAAAAAATCAGCTCACTAAGTTGAATCATTTCTAACTTGGCACTTAAAGTAAGAGGCATACAACTCTTCTTTTTATCACAACTAAGCTTAGACACCATTGTCAACGAGAACCAACTAGTTAATGAAATAGTAAACGAGAGAGAACGAGATGCACGAAGTTCAGACAATGTAAAGTCACAAACTGAAACTGGTGGTGGGCGATCACTAGGTCAGGTGAAATAAACGCTATTAATACGTGTCCAATTTTAGTTCATTTATGTACGTTTGTAAGAGTTTGTGAAACTTTTACCTCACAAATTTTTTTTTTTATTATTAAATAAGTACCTCACAATACAAAATACTCTTGCATTGTGTACAAGTTGTACAAGTTAGCATATAAGATTACATAAACATCAACATTTCCATTCTCATGCAACACACCATTTTTGTGAATATAATAATAATTTTATTATTATTATAATTATTAGAATCATGATAAAAAAGAACGCTAAACCCACAAGGGCCGTGAATAGCTATAGATAAAGGCATACGAAAGGAATATTTTTCTAGTTATCCCCCAGTAGCTGGTGTTGGACTAGAGAAAACGTAATTCTTCTGACACTCCTACAAGCCGCTTGGTAGGTGTATGTATCATGCTTATGTGTTATATAACGAGTTTCTTATATAATTTTTGAAAAATTATCATAGATGGAGTAATGGAAATGTCTATATATATTAACGTAATATATGACATTTAATGCACCCAAGAGATTATTATTGTTATTATTTTGGTGTCTTCAAGAGTAGAGAGAGACTTCGTGATTTTAATGTGTACCTGCATGCCAGCACAGTGTGTAAGTATATTTAGGTACAGGTACACATAAGTATAATATCAGAGTTTGTATAAAATATGCAATTACCTTAAAACACTTGAAATTTTGGAAAGTTTCCAGACATAATAGAGATGTGCTCATGAAGAATGTAAATAAACTGGGTGGGGCGCAGTGACCATATTAGAAAGACAGGTGGGTGGAGCCGTATGGCGAGTGTTGGTCATAATTTGAAATGTCCTTATTAGTGGAACGCCGTAAAGCGGGGCCCTACTGTACAGTATATTGTTTTTAAGAATACACTTGATGAATGCTGGATCTACCAGGCTGTAGTTGGTATGTGGGCCAGTGGACCACCAACAGTAACAGTCTGGTTCATCAGGCAAGCACTGGACAAGCCTGACACAAGGCTGGGCTGTAGGAGTGGGAAAACTTGAAACTGGTCACAGGTATGTTGTATCACTTCATCCAGGCTGGTGCATAGGTTTGCTCATTGGTAATAAAAAAATCTACCGAGGTTTGATCACTAACAGTCAGAATGGAAGGGGTAGATTTTAAAATTAAGGTAACCATGACACAAATTGCCTTACTGTAATTATAATTCTGTATTTGAATAATAGATGTTCAGATGATATCTAAAATAAAGTTGATAACATTAATAAATTTTCATGTAGTCTTTATTTCATTTGAAATGGTGAGAATAAAATTTAAATTTTAATAATATAGTAGCATTGTAGGAAGTATGCATTGTTGCTAGAGTGTAAGTAGAAGGCTAGGAATTAGTAATTAAATTATCTTTTATGGTACAGTAAATTAAGCTTACTTTATTTTTGCAGCAGACTTCATACATGTGTGGGGAATGTTTTCTGCTTTTCCCAACTACTGAGGCCTTCAGTGCCCATGAATGCCATGTAATAGAGGTGGAAAATACAGAAAACATCAACAAGGAACAGGAGGAGGAACAGCCACATGCCTCATCTTTAGACATATCACAACAAAATGAACATGCCAAGACAGGTGTGGTACTTAACCATTAATCATGTACATTTCAGTTATTGACTTGATCATCAATCATTGGAATGTTGTTGTCCTCTTGCCAGTAATAATGGTGCTTTTTAAATAAAACTAGAAAACTTGTACAGTAGTACCTCGATATTCGAACTTAATCCATTCCAGGAGGCTGTTCAAATAGTGAGTTGTGCAAATATTGAATAAATTTTTTCTATGAGAATAATGTAAATTAGATTAATCCATTCCAGACCAAAAAATTACCAATTCTAAAACATTTTAGGTAAAAAATATTGCTTATTTAAACCTGTATAATAATATTTGCATGCATAAAATCATACTTGAAAATTATAAAAACAATAAATTATTTTTATTATTAACACACTGGCCAATTCCCACCAAGGCAGGGTGGCCCGAAAAAAAAAAACCTTCACCATATTCACTCCATCCACTTTAAAAGGGGCTTTACCACATTTTAAACTGCAAATTAAAACACCCCCCCTTTTAGAGGAAAGGCCATGTATTCCCCATCTCCAGCCCTCAATGCGGCTGGGTTTCCATCCCTTCATAAATTTCTTTGTACCCCCCCTCAATTTTAAAAACCACCCTCCAAAATTTTCCCCCTTTACAGAAAAAGGCAGGTGAAATCAAGCCCCCTTTTTAAAATCTCCTTTACCCCTCCCTAAAACCTTTTTAGGGGACCCCACCCCCCCTTTTTCCCAAAAACAACATACCCTTGAACATTCTTTTTCCCCTTTTCTTTTAAATGCCACCACCCAAAAACCCCCCCCTCTCCCGGACAACAGTTTTTAACCGCCCCTCCTCCCAATTTTAAAACAATTTTCTTTATTTTAACCCCCTTTCCCCAGCAGAACCCCCTGTATTCCCCCGGGAACTTTCTCAAATGATTTCCTATTTTTTAACCCCTTTGGGTCCCCCCTTTTTAAGGTTTTTAGTTGGGTGAGTGGAGGTTTTGAAAAATGTGAGGGGTAATTTGGTGTGAAGAATACTTTGGGGTTTTATTTTCCCACATAAAAAATCCTGCGCAAACTGGGTATAAAGGGAAAAAAAAAAAAATAAATTTTGTTTTAAAAAAAAACTTGCGTTTTTTTTTCGTTGTTTTTATGTTGTATTTGCGTTTTGGTTCATTTGAAGAATGGAAGCATATTACAGAAAAGAGATTTTTTTTTTTGGTTTTATTGGGAAATGGTTTAAAAAAACGATTTTAAAAAGTACAGAAAGTTAAATTTTTTTTGCCGATATTAAAAAGATTAAACAAACGACCTCACACGTCTAAACACCAGCTGGGGGGGGTCTAATATACATTCACAAATATGGTGATGATATTTATACAATTTTACAGATTGCAAACAGAAATCTTCTATTTTTTGTTAAAAAAAATTCATTATTGAAAAAAAATCAAAATAAAAATTTATTTTAAAGCCCAAAACATAACTAATGAAAAAGGGGAAATTTAGTTTAGTGCCAAGAATCCCTACTTGTTCATTCGGGACCCTATTTTGAAAATTGGGAAATTTTTTTTAAACTTTGTGTTAAATTGGCCAAATTAAAAACAATTTTCCGATCCTTATTTTGTATTTTAAACATTGACTTGGGCGATTTCTTGTGCTAAATCGATAGAATAAAAGTAAAACTGTGAAATAGCTAAGAATTTGGTTATTGGAATAATGAAATTTGGGCCTAAAAGGGGGAGTCAAAAGTCGGCAAAATCGCCGTTTCGTAAAAAAATCCTGACACATTCAAATTCGCGAAGCATAATTTCGTAAATTTTTTCCCCCAAAATTTTCGTCTTTTGTTTTATTACCTCCAAAAAAAGATTCTAAAAGAAAAAAAAAAATAACAAATTTTTTTTTTTTGAAAATTTTTTGACACTGGTGCGTGACCCCCAGATTTTTGGGCCCTTTGGCCCTAAAAGGGTTAAAGGTGATGTAGGATGCCATTTTTCCACCAGGGTTTGTGTTTGAGCCTGGTAACACGTTACTAAATTTCTGCAGGGGAAAAGTTGCCTTTTGCTTCCCCCTCCCTGAAGAAATTTCCTCAAACTTTTGCTGTCCTTTTCTTTCATTTTCAAACCCCAAATGGCCAGAGAAACAATATCTTTCATACAGGGTGCCTCAAAACCTTTCAAAATTTCTGACTGACACACAGTCGGGCCCTAATTTCTTCCGGCAGAGTTCATTCTCCTGAAAGAAACTTTCCCCCAGGGTTTGTATATTATCCTCAAACACTGGGGAAGGTTTTAAAATTTTTTTTTTTTTTAAAAAAATTTGTAAGGTAAGCTCGTTACAGTGCCGTGTCAATACCAAATAACCCCCACATAAAAAGAGGGAAACTTACACCTTTCGGTCTGACTTGGACCCTTGACAAAATCACACAACAGAGTGGAGCAGGACGGGTATATATAGGAAAAGAGTGGAGGAAGTAGTAGAGTAGTAGTAGAGTATAAAGTAGTACAAGAAATGAAATAATACCGACAGGTGAAAGACACATGCACAACACCGGGGTCCCCACCGTAATGTTTCGTATCCCCCCCACTGGATGGCGAAACGTCCACAACAAAACAACCCAAACCCCCACTGGTCTTAATTTCATCAGTTTGGTGACTTTGTCAATGGTCCCAAATCGGGCAAAAAGTCGTCGAAGCTTCTCTCTTTTTTGTCGGTTATTTTTTGTATCGTTCCCCGTCACGGGATTTTGCCCTTTTTGTTATTTTTTTGTGTCAAGTTTCTTACAATTGGAAATTAACCCCGTGGGCCATGGATTGGGAAAAAGGGGGTGGGGTTTGGGGAAAAAAACTTGCCTTTAATGCACTGTATTTATCTACCAAATTTTCCTCTAAGCCCGGAGGGTGAGCAGGAACTGTCCTTCCCAAAAGTGCCCTTAAAGGGAAAATTTTTTTTTTTCCACAAGGTTTTTGCTTCACACTTGGGGCAAGCACTTCATGTATCCACTTAAAACACCTTTGGATTTTTAAGGGGGTAGACTAGCAGCAGTTTAAATTTTTTCGTCCCCACAAAATTACAAAAAAAAAGATTTAGCTTGTCTTTTGTGGGTTGTGTCCTGGGAAATTATTTTTCTTGTGTGATGTAGGTTCTCTTTTGGACTCTTTCCCAAAGAGGCCAAATTCATCACAATTTAAAAAAATTTTCTGAGGTAAAAATTCCCCCAATGTCTACTGGGTTTTAAATATCAAACCAGCACCCAACTACTTTTCCGTAAATTCCGTCTTTAGCACTGTTTCCTGGGGTGTTGCCTGAGATCGGTATATAACTGTTTTGCTTTTTTACAAATTATGGTTTGATAAACACTGTCACCAGCCAATTGTTTTTCGTTAATCCACGCTAACAAAAGTTTTCCATTTCTTCCATTATCTGTGACCTTTTCACAGCAAGAATTTTCACTTCTTTTGCTACATCAGCCACTTATATTGCCTCTTTATTTTTCAATATGGATGATATGGTGAATTTTGCCATGGCATATTGAGTGGCCAGGTCTGACATATGTATTCCACTTTGCCACTTTGCATTGAGTTCTTTTTTCACTCCAATTGTTGTTCTCACTGCTTTCCTTTTAGGCTTGTTTGGATCACTACTGTCTTTTGGGGCCACGATTACAGCCTCTCCTCCCTTACCAACATACTCGTTTACTGACCACTCAGACTTTTGAGTTATTTCCTCTATTCTGTTGTATAAACATTTAAAAATATATTAAAAATGTTATAAATAGTGCAAAGGTAACACTAAAACAGTATCAAAGATGGTTGACACAAACCCACTATCATTAGTATACTCCTCACTTAGCGATTAATTTGTTTACCAACGTCGTCTTAGGAACGGAACTCTGTCATTAAGTGAGGAGAGGCTGTATAGTACTTTAGTAAGGCAGATGGTCATATGCTCTCTACCTTTGTCAAAAATCTATAAAGTGGTGTGAGTCTCTTAGTCTTTCATGAGTTAAAACTACTAAAGGTTCAAAGAGGGAGCTCTCTCCATTGGGGGTTCCTTTGGTGTCAGTTGAGGGCTCTTCAGTATTTGGTATACACTTTGTTTATTTTTGCAGGTGAATACATTTTTTTTTTCCAACATGCTGGCCAAAAAGGAAAAAAAAAACTTAATTACCATTCATACATAATCATTATCTGCAAAGGTGTGCAGATGTGACAGTTCAGATGTCATTCCAAACAGGAAATATCCCAAACCCCTCCTTTAACCCCTTTGACTGTTTCAGAGGTATATACAATACGTCTTACAAGCCAGTGTTTAGGACGTACATGTATATATATTCAATAATTCTAGTGGCTTAAAATCAAGCTGGAGAAAACTGGTAGGCCTACATAGGAAAGAATGGGTCTATGTGGTCAGTGTGCGCAGTATTAAAAAATCCTGCAGCACACAGTGCGTAATGAGGAAAAAAAAAAACTTTGACCGTGTTTTTGGATTAAAACAGTGACTTTGCACTGTATTTTCGTATGGTATTTATGGTTGTATTCTAGTTTTCCTGGTCTCATTTTATAGAATGGAAGACATATTACAGAAATTGAGATGATTTTGATTAGTTTCACAATGAAAAGTACCTTGAAATTAAGCTCAAAGTAGCAGCAGAAATGTTCAATTTTTACCAAAGTTCAAAAGTAAACAAATCATGCCAAGCGTCCAATACACGTCAACTGGTGAGTCTGATATTCTTTCACAAGTGTGCTGATATTATTTATACCATTTCTACACTAATGCAGTAATCTGCATAACAGTAAATCTTTCTATTTTTTTATGAGAATAAAAATGGAAAGGAAAAAAAAAGTAAGAGAGGCCTGGGGATGTGACTAATTAACAGAAAAAATGTAATTTTAGTGCCATGAATGTCTGTCTTGTTTATTCTGGACCCTATTTGGAAATTGGCATCTTTTGAAATTTGTGTGAAATTGGCAAAATTGCCAATTTCGGACCACTTTATTGGATAGTTGAAGTCGGTAAATGGGTGGTTTCTTGTATTCATTCAATAGAAAAAATGGAGTTCTAGTGAAATAGTTATGATATTTGTCGACTGGTACATTGGAATTGGCCGAAAATAGGGCTTAAAGTGGGTGGAATCGCCGATGTGTCAACATCGTCGAGACCGCTAACTTCGCGAGAGCATAATTCCATAAGTTTTCCATCAAACTTCATACTTTTGGTGTCGTCATGATCAGGAAAAGATTCTCCACCATTTCACGAGAAATTTTTTTTTTTTTTTTTTCCAAAAATTTCCGACCCTGAGAAGAAGTTTAGCAGAGGGCCTGTTGACCCTGAAAGGGTCAGTTTCTAAATTATTGACAAGGGTTTCCTTGTTTGCCAGAACCAGATCAAGCAGGTTATTACCCCTTGTAGGTACTGTCACAAACTTCTTCAAGAAACAATCCTGAACTACTTTTGAAAAGTCATTAGATTCTAAATTCTCAGTCAAAATATTCCAATCAGTTTGAGTAAAGTTAGAGTCCCCTAGAATTACTACATTGTCGTGCCTTGTGGCCTTAGCAATTTCGTCCCAAAGTAGTCTCCCTTGTTCCCTATCTAAGTTTGGTGGGCGGTATATCACACCTAAAATCAATTTTTCATATCCCTCTGAAAATTCTATCCAGACTGATTCTGTATGTGTTATTTCAGACTTTATGCCCATTTTTTATGCAACAATTTAAGTGATCCCGGACATAGAGTGCCACCCCCACCCCCCTTACCGATGCTTTTGTCTGCTTGAAACATTTTAAAAACCTGAATGTGACATTCAGCAGGCATGTCCCTATTTTTCATATTAAACCACGTCTCGGTTATTGCAAAAACATAAACATTACCCTTACTTGCAACTAATCTCAATTCGTCCATCTTATTCCTTGCACTATGTGTATTAGTATAAAATCTTCTTCTTTCAACAAACCGGCCGTATCCCACCGAGGCAAGGTGGCCCAGAAAGAAAAATGAAAGTTTCTTTTAAAATTTAGTAATTTATGCAGGAGAAGGAGTTACTAGCCCCTTGCTCCTGACATTGTAGTCACCTCTTACAACACGCATGGCTTACAGAGGAAGAATTCTGTTCCGCTTTCCCATGGAGATAAGAGGAAATAAACAAGAACAAGAACTAGAAAGAAAATAGAAGAAAACCCAGAGGGGTGTGTATATATATGCTTGTACATGCATGTGTAGTGTGACCTAAGTGTAAGTAAAAGTAGCAAGACATACCTGAAATCTTGCCAGCAATCCTACCATCATGTAAAACAATTACAGGTTTCCGTTTTACACTCACTTGGCAGGACGGTAGTATCTCCCTGGGCGGTTGCTGTCTATCAACCTACTACCTACAATTAGTATAAAATATATTTTTGAAAATCTCCCTTCTCTTTTCTCTTCCTGCTGATTTCTGTTCCTCCACTATACCTGTTACTGTCCTTGTCACCTAGTGCCACTGGGTTTCCAATATTCACCAATAACTCTACCTCATTCTGCCTATTACGGGTTTCTCTCAGTGTCGAAAAATATCACCCCCCCCCCCCTTCCCCAGAAAAAAAAACCTTAAGAATAATTTTCCGAGTTATAAAAAAAAAATGCGACCAGTAGTTACCGAGATAGAGGCGTAAAGTTGACAGAAAGTGAACCGTTGATGGCAACATCGGTGACTGCCGCTCTCTTGGTAATATTTTTGCCTGTGAGACCAATATAATGTATATTGTATATATATAATCCACTCATTGTATGCAACACAATAACTGCACAAATATTGTTATATTGTTTACAAAACTTGTTTACACATACCAACAATTAAAAAAGTTGTTTATTACTATTGTTCTATAATATATGTACACATATAGTCACTAAACATGTTCCTAGAACTGCTACAGTTTGTGGAACTCTTGAAACATGGTGTTATGCACAGTGCTGTTTTACACTCCTCACACATAAAACGAGTGTCTACGTTTTTGTGGGTAGGTTGTGGTTGTGCAGGGTGTTGTTGTGTGTGGGTGGTTGAAGGTGGCCTTTGTTGTGGATGTGCTGAGTCAGTGGCATGGCTACCAGCCTGGGGTGCCTCTGGAGCCACATGACGCATTACACCACCACCACCTGCTGCTGCACGTATATTATCCATCCCAATTGTAACATTACCCATTACCCATACCATCTTACCCACCAACCACATTGTCTTCCCCACCACCCACATGGAAATAAGTCACTTTGTCTAGCTTTTTTGGGTTATCCTAGGTTCTCTACACAAATGTTGCTATGTATGATAATTATGTAACAGTATTTGTGTATACCTGAATAAACATACTTACACACTGTCTTCCCTACCACCCATGCTGTCTTCCCCACCACTCACACTTCCACACCACTCACACTGTCTTCCCCACCACCCATGTTGTCTTCCCACCACTCATGCTGTCTTCTGTTTTCACTATCTGTTCCTGGTGTAGGGCCACGGGATGAACTACGAAATGTACTCCTTCCCCTTGTATGGCATATGGCATACTACCAGAATGCATGTAGTCTCATATAAATTGACTTCACTGGAGAATATCCCTCTTTATTGTCGCGACTGGAATTGTTATCAAGAGCTTGGAAATCACAATCATTATCACTATCATGATTACTGCTCACATCTGAGTCCTGGACATGGGAAAATATGAGTTTCCTCTTTCGCCGTGGTACAACTGAACGTGAACGAGACGGCCTAGCATCATCTGGGTTTTCAGCACTATTTCTAGTATCCTGGGCATTACTTTCAGCCACAAACTATTCAGAACCATGAAATTTATCTTCATGACACTTCCATCTCTGTTAAAGCTATCACTTGGGAAGAGTCCCAGTTCTCCAGGGAGTGAGGTATTCCTTACAGCTAGGCATGGTGAACAAGGCATAGTGAATTGGCACTCCCACAATACACTGCTTCCTCCCCAATTTTTTTTATACTGCACATACTGAGCACACAGACCCATTCTCTCACGTGTAGGCCTTCCAGCTTTCTCCCGCTAGATTTGAAGCCACTGGAATTTTGGTTTAGTATTACGGAACCAACAGTGAAAGGGTTAATGAAGTGTTGGTTTGTGTGATTAAAAAGAGTGAAGCAAATATGTGGGCTTGTGCAATGAATAACCCAGGCTGTCATCTGATTTACTGACTTGATCAATTTGCTGAATGACTTGACTGATTTACTGAATGACTAACTTGATTTACTGTTGCATTTGTAGCCTTGAACAACAGAAAAAACATATGTAACGACACTGAAAAACAATTGCGTTATTATTTTTATTTGCATAAAAGTTGCAGACCTAAAAAGAAGTTTGACTTTTTCTGGGGTCCCAGGAACATCCCTATTTTCCCATAAGTTCTTCAGTTCCTTTAACACTGATTCGTCTACCACTGCATTTTCAGGGACCCAACTACCATCTTGAGTATTTGTGAGGGCAACTTTATGCTGCATGCAAATTTCCTGTTATATCAGTGCACATTGATAAAGTTTCTTATTTTTCCTAAAACAGATGTGTGGAAAGCAGAAGAGTCAGAAGCAGCTATGGAGGAGGCAGTGGCCAGCATTCTTGGTGAGAGAATGAAACGTACAGTATCTCAGAAAAATACCTCCTCAAATGTGCAATTTGATCAGACCCTCATTGTGCCAGTAGAGCATTCCATTGAGCACACGGGTATCGCAGATCATGACATGGAACCTGTGGTTGAGCATACTGTAGAAAATACAGATGAGACAGATGGAAGCATGATGGAAGGTGTAGAGATTCCTTCTGCTAATGTTTACATGTATGACAATCCTGTGTACCTTAACCGCCTTATGAAAGACAACACTTTTGGCAGAAGAGTGCGTCATGATGCTCCCTACAGTCATCGATTAGGTTTGTTTCTATTATATACATGCAGTATTTTTTGTGTAATTTTTACCTCATATATTCAAATAGTTAAATTATAAATTCATATGGTTGGAACCAAGCAATTATTGAATTTTATATTTTTTATGTTTTTTACAAAGTATGCAGTGTACAGTGGACCCCCGCATACCGTTGGCCTTACATAACGTTAAATCCGCATACCGCTACATTTTATCGCCAAGATTTTGCCTCGCATACCGCTAAAAACCCCGCTCGACGTTCGTCTGAGACGCGTCTATGTGCGGCCTGAGCCACGCTCACATGTTCCGCCGGTGGCATTGTTTACCAGCCAGCCTCCGCGGTAACATCCAAGCATACAATCGGAACATTTCGTATTATTACAGTGCTTTTGGTGATTTTATCTGCAAAATAAGTGACCATGGGCCCCAAGAAAGCTTCTAGTGCCAACCCTACAGCAATAAGGGTGAGAATTACTATAGAGATGAAGAAAAAGATCATTGATAAGTATGAAAGTGGAGTGTGTGTCTCCGAGCTGGCCAGGTTGTATAATAAACCCCAATCAACCATCGCTACTATTGGTGGTACAGCTGCTGCTGCTGCTGTACCACTGTCAGCTGCTGCTGCACTGTCAGCTGCTGCTGCTGCTGTACCACCGTCAGCTGCTGCTGCACTGTCAGCTGCTGCTACACTGTCAGCTGCTGCTGTAGCACCATCAGCTGCTGCTGCTGTACCACCGTCAGCTGCTGCTGCTGCTGCTGTAGTACCGTCTGCTGCTGCTGTAGCATCGTCTGCTGCTGCTGTAGCATCGTCTGCTGCTGCTGTAGCACTGTCAGCTGCTGCTGCTGTTGTACCACTGTCAGCTGCTGCTGCTGCTGAAGTACCGTCTGCTGCTGCTGTAGCATCGTCTGCTGCTGCTGTAGCATCGTCTGCTGCTGCTGTAGCATCGTCTGCTGCTGCTGTAGCACTGTCAGCTGCTGCTGATGTTGTACCCCCGTCAGCTGCTGCTGCTGTAGTACCGTCTGCTGCTGCTGTAGCATCGTCTGCTGCTGCTGTAGCATCGTCTGCTGCTGCTGTAGCACTGTCAGCTGCTGCTGCTGTTGTACCACCATCAGCTGCTGCTGCTGCTGCTGTAGTACCGTCTGCTGCTGCTGTAGTACCGTCTGCTGCTGCTGTAGCATCGTCTGCTGCTGTTGTAGCACTGTCAGCTGCTGCTGCTGCTGCTGCTGCTGTAGCACTGTTGTTGGTGTGGCTTATTGAGAATACCAAGAAACAATTAACCCCAGAGGATTTGCCACCCAGGATAACCCAAGAAAGTCATTGTCATCGAAGACTGTCTAACTTATTTCCATTGGGGTCCTTAATCTTGTCTCCCAGGATGCAACCCACACCAGTCGACTAACACCCAGGTGAACAGGGAAAAATGCCTGGAACTAGTGCTCATATTGGTGAATTTAAAGCCAGCAAAGGTTGGTTTGAGAGATTTAAGAATCGTAGTGGCATACACAGTGTGATAAGGCCTGTTCTGGAAGAAAATGCCAAACAGGACCTACAGTACTCAGGAGGAAAAGGCACTCCCAGGACACAGTGTCTCATCAGTCATTGCTGCATCTTCAATAAAGGTAAGTGTCATTTATTCTTCATTTAGTAGAGTAGTACATGCACAATATATATTGTGCATGTACTACTCTACTATTGTGCATGTATCCTTCTCTTTGTGTGTAGGAAAATGTATATTTCATGTGGTAAAATTTTTTTTTCATACTTTTGGGTGTCTTGCACGGATTAATTTGATTTCCATTATTTCTTATGGGAAAAATTCATTCGCATAACGATAATTTCGCATAACAATGAGCTCTCTTGCACGGATTAATATCGCTATGCGGGGGTCCACTGTACTACTTTTCTAGCATAACATTGTGTATTTTATAAGGTTTTTTACTTACCTTATATAGTTTTTGTATTTTATATGGTTTATGTTAAAATGTTTAACCCTTAAACTGTCCACACGTAGATCTACGTGCACGTGCGCAGCGCTCCGAACATAGATTAACGTTTTATTTTTCATTCCTTCAAATTTGGTACAATAGGTCTGAGTCGCCTAGACATGAAAGAATGGGTCTACGCACTCAGTGTGCGCGTATAAAAAAAATTGGGGACCACTTGGTACCTTGTGGGAGTACCAGTTCTGTTGAGTGCCAGCTAGAGCAAATTGCTTGGCAAACACCAGGGATTCACTGATGTCATGTCGTATAAATGGAAAACAGGAATTAATAAAAGGATGTAAATAGTGTGCTAAAAATGTCTAATATAGACAGGACTCGCAGCAATGGTTTTAAATTGGAAAAATTCAGATTCAGGAAGGATATAGGAAAGCACGGGTTTGGTAATAGAGTTGTGGAACAAACTCGCGAGTACTGTCATAGAAGCTGAGACGTTGTGTAGTTTTAAAAATAGGTTAGATAAATACATGAATGGGTATGGGTGGGTGTGAGTTGGACCAAACTAGCTTATGCTACTAGGTCAGATGCCATGCTCCTCCCTTAAGTGACGTGTCTGATCTCACTAGGTCAAGGCATTGGCTTAAGCCGGTGGGAGAATTGGACCTGCCTCGCATAGGCCAGTAGACCTGTTACAGTGTTCCTTCTTTCTTATTTTCTTATGTTCTTAACACTCCCATTTTAAGGGGAAAGTAAAAATAGGTTAGATAAATGCATGAGTAGGTGTGGATGGGTGTGAGTTGGACCTGACTAGCTTGTGCTACTAGGTCAGATGCCATGCTCCTTCCTTCAGTGGATGTTACCTGACTAGGTGGGTCAATTGGTCTAAACTGGGGGATGACATGGACCTGCCTTGCATGGGCCAGTAGGCCAGCTGGCTGGCTTTGGCTGTCTCTGTCTGTATCTGTCTGTTTATATCCCCATCTATCTCTGTCTCTAACAAGTACTTATAAGTACATTTATTTTTTTTTTCAACAAACTGGCAGTATCCCACCAAGGCGGGGTGGCCCAAAAAGAAAAACAAAAGTTTTTCTTTTTAAATTTAGTCATTTATACAGGAGAAGGGGTTACTAGCCCCTTGCTCCCGGCATTTTAGTCACCTCTTATAACACGCATGGCTTTCGAAGGAAGAATTCTGTTCCACTTCCCCATGGAGATAAGAGGAAATAAACAAGAACAAGAACTAGAAAGAAAATAGAAGAAAACCCAGAGGGGTGTGTATATATATACTTGTACATGTATGTGTAATGTGACCTAAGTGTAAGTAGAAGTAGCAAGACGTACCTGAAATCTTGCATGTTTATGAGACAGAAAAAAGGACACCAGCAATCCTACCATCATGTAAAACAATTACAGGCTTTCATTTTACACTCACTTGGCAGGACGGTAGTACTTCCCTGGGTGGTTGCTGTCTACCAACCTACTACCTAGGACATTTATTATAGCAATGTCACTTGCTCAGTAATCAGGGAGCGGCTCATAAACCAAAAACCAATAGGTTTACCAGTTGCTCCATGAGACAGACAGTTGGAAAGACAGACACACAGGCAGACAGATAAGCAGGGATAGATAGACAGACAGATGCAGACAGACATGTTTGTGTGCAACAGCAAAAACATACTGTAAAGTGAGGGTTCCCTGCAGCAGCTCTCATTCATCAAATGTCACTGGCTGTCACCGGTTATCTCAGGCTTGTCATAACACCATTCTTCAAGGAGTTTCATATATACTCCAGCATGTCTAAAACATTGCAAAGACCTATAAATAAAAGAAAAACTATAAATACTTTGTATGTATTACTAGACAATAGTAAATGACCGAGGCAGATGAAAATGTTCACCTGTCTGTGTGATTGTTTCTATTTGAGTACTATTTCAGTACATAATATTAGTGTCAGAACAAAGATTGGCTATGAAATCACAAGAACTATTATAAATTGTAATTATCAGAACATAAAAATTATATAAATAAAAACGAGAAAAAATGTTAATCGGCAACACTTCTGCAAGTGGCAGGACTGGATGTTGCTGTCAGGTGAGCATCCAGAGCCAACTTTGTGGTCTTATATCTGGGTAAGTACTGGTCCTAAATTTTTTTTTTTTTTTTTTTTTGTTTTATACCACAGAAAATTGCCCTCATTAATTTAAAAAAAAAACTTATTTTTCAAAATACAGTGGACCCCCGGTTTACGATATTATTTCATTCCAGAAGTATGTTCAGGTGCCAGTACTGACCGAATTTGTTCCCATAAGGAATATTATGAATTAGATTAGTTCATTTCAGACCCCAAAACATACACATACAAATGCACTTACATAATTGGTCGCATTGGGAGCTGATCGTAAACCAGGGGTCCACTGTACATATTTGGAGCACCATACAGGTGAACGTAGATCTACGTTTGGACAGTTTAAGGGTTAACCCTTTGACTGTTTTGGTCATATATATATGTCTAAGGAGCCAATGTGTTTGACGTATATATATACTCAGAAATTTTAGCGGCTTCAAATCAAGCAGGAGAAAGCTGGTAGGCCCACATGTGAGAGAATGGGTCTGTGTGGTCAGTGTGTGCAGTATAAAAAAATCCTGCAGCATGCAGTGCATAATGAGAAAAAAAACTCCGACCGTGTTTTTGGATTAAAACGCCTACTTTGAGGTGTATTTTCGTATAGTATTTCTGGTTGTACAGTGGACCCTCAGCTAACGATATTAATCCGTTCCTGAAAGCTCATCGTTGGCTGAAATTATCATTAGCTGAATTAGTTTAACCCATAAGAAATAATGGAAATCAAATTAATCCGTTCCTGACACCCCAAAGTATGAAAAAAATATTTTTTTTATTTTTATTATAATTTTTTTTTATTTTTTTTTTATTATCACACTGGCCGATTCCCACCAAGGCAGGGTGGCCCGAAAAAGAAAAACTTTCACCATCATTCACTCCATCACTGTCTTGCCAGAAGGGTGCTTTACACTACAGTTTTTAAACTGCAACATTAACACCCCTCC